TTTCCCTGATGACTATATTTAGCTATTTATGTATTTGTTGGTTTGCTTCTTTTTTTTCTTTTCTTTTTTTTTACCCTCAGCTAGTCCTGCCGCACTTTGTTAGTCATTTGATACATAATTCATTTATGCAGCATGTATGTGTTGAGGCAAGTCAATTGAATTTTCTGGCTCAAGGGCAAAGGCTCAGCAGACTTTCTTCTGTGCTGAATCCAGGCAAATTCATTTCAGTGATGACCGTGAAAGTAAATAAACAGATGGATGTTGGTGGTGATCGTGAGTGGAGTAGTAACAAGAGGAGAGGGGCCTTCACAGTTGGTTTGCAAGTGAAGAGAAGTTGTCAAGGGGGTTGCATAGGGCTCTAATGTGCAATGACTTTCTGTATATTTTACCGAAAATCTAAGCCAACTTCCTGTTAATGCCCCCAAAAGGAACATTTGGACCCTGGCCCAGTTTCTAAAACACAAACAAAGCATAAATAAATAAACAGGGTTACATGTAGTTCAAGTATGCTGGAATGCTATGCAGTCAGGATTGCATACACTTAAGAAGTGTATCCGTTTTTGTGACTGGTGTGTAAAAAGCATCTCATCCCAACAGCAATTTGCATTCAAATAAGAGCTCAGTTTGTCAGTGTATGAAATTTACAATCGACATCATGCTTCATTCGCTTTCCCGTCAGGGGGATTGTATGGTGAATGAAAGCTGTGCAAAGTATGGAGTGAACATGTCTGTATCCATGATGTCAACATATGTCCTCTGATAGGCCTCCTATCTGCTCCATTATAGCAATTGTTGAGAGGTTCATAGATCACACAGTATTTCTCTTGTTGCTTTTACAACACTGAACATGTTACATGTTTCTGATTCTGATTCTGATGTTTATTTGGTGTGGTGTAGTGGCAAACTTAGAAGTGACACTTCATGAAATGTAGAGATGCTGACCTGCCACTACAAGATTGCTCCAAAGAGACTTATGCAATAACTGTAAATTGCTTAAAATTTGCTAAATTACAAAGATCAGTAATTAACAGTAGAGAACAGGTATTCAAAAATGTTGTAACTAGTATAAATTCATTTAAAAAATGAAATTTAATTATCAATTATAATTAATTTAAAGGTGGCCTATTATGCCCCTTTTTACAAGATGTAAAATAAGTCTCTGATATCCCCAGAGTGTGTATGTGAAATTTTAGCTCAAAATACTCTACAGATAGCTTGTTGAAATTACAATTTTTAGGGTATGAGCCAAAACGCCCTGTTTTTTTGTGTTTGTCCCTTTAAATGAAAATGAGCTGGTGCTCCCGCCTCCCCTTTCAGAACAGGGTGGAGTTTCCAGAGCTCGCGCCAGCATCATGCCAGCAATAACAAAACACTCTCTTACGCACTGAAAATGTCAGAAACTGCTAGTGGTGTTCAGCCATATATGTTCGAACCGGTGTCGTGCGAATTCTGCACCCTGCCAGATTATTTATGAATTACACAGACGGGGAGCACGGCGCGATTAAAAATAACAACATAGCTGGTCTCATGGTGCCATACTTCTTCTAGATGGCATAACGTCATGAACAGTTGGCACTGCTCCATCCTTCAGGAGCAACTTTTGTGCAAAACCTGCTTTATACTTCAAAAAGGCAATTTGGAAAACAAACGTGTGATACTTCTTCTAGATGGCGTAACATTAGCTGGATCACGAACAGTTGGCACTGCTCCATCCTTCAGGAGCAACTTTTGTGCAAAACCTGCTTTATACTGACCCTCATTCACAAAGCAGTCCCAACTCGCTGTGAACTCGCTCAGGGCGGTTCTACGTTAAAACGGCAGTGTCTGGCAACATTTGTGGGCGGGGCCTGTGGGTAATGTGACGTCACATTAGCACCAATGCTAAAAATAGGCCATTGGGAGACACTGCTTATTATTTATGGGGATTAAAAAAAAAGGAGTGGGTGGATTTTTATCATTATAGGGTGGTTGTGTACACACACTGCCAACACACATTTATGTCCAAACACCTTGCAAAAGTGAATTTTACATAATAGGTCCCCTTTAAACAAATTGTCTTTTAAATAAGTACTTAGAATACTTAATTTTAATCAAATATGCATGTATTTGAATACTAATTTGCCTGTTTGTTTTAAACAATTTGGCACTTACTGAAATGATGATATCAGGATATTTTTTAGCTATCTGTAGAAGGAAAAATACTTTAACTTCCTTGAAGGTCTTTTTGTTATTCTACCACGATTCCCATGAAAATCTCTAGAGATCTCTTAAATGTTGTCACTTTATCTTTTGCAGTGAGCTTGTGTCATTTTTATTAAGCGACAGTAACAAGAACCACTTTCACAAGATTAAAAAGGCTCCATAGCAAATATTGTTTTTATGCGCTGTATCATTTTTGGTGCTCGACTTTACTTGCAGAGATGGATAAAGAAAAGAGAAATGGTGCATTTGTTAAGATAACTGTCTTGTTTTAAAATGATTTTATCTTTTCATTTTAAATCCAAATTTATGATTAACAGTGTTGTTGCATTCATTTGTAATATCTGGCTTCGAGTAAAATCTTCCATTCATCTTTTGTACTGAGAGGATCTCATTCTGATCTAATTAAACAGCACCACACATTAGACACTGTTGCATTTGTATAATGTCTATGTAATTTTAGTTTACTATATTGCTGCTCAGGGATTGAAGATTAAGTTTATATAATGCAAAAAGAAGAACTGAATATATGACTTGCAGATTTAGCATATTTTTAGGAGGGGTAATTTCCATTCCAAAGGCCTTGAAGCATTTTAATGAAGCCTGGATGAATTGAATTAGACCTGATCTATGAGGTAATGACAGAATCCATATGTTACATCTTATTTTATGCAGCATATTCTTCAAGTGTCATTAACAAACATTTAGTGTTTACGGTGTGTGTGTGTGTGTGTGTGTGTGTGTGTGTGTGGGATGGAATAGTCTACGTCAAACCAACCATGACTATTTATTCACTTGGAGTCTTTCAATAAAAAAATCTTAAAATGACCTCATGAAATATGCAGGGTAGATTCTCTATTGAAACTTCAAACTCCTTGATGGAAGCTTGACCTAAATGTGATGAATCAATAACTTTGTAGTCAATTTATGAAACATTTATTGTTTAATTTATCTTAATATACTTCAATATAAGAACCATTTTGAGGAACTTTTTAAAAATCTAAAGAACCCTTTTCCTCTCTAAAGAACCTTTAGTGCAATTTAAAGGTTCCATGAATGTTCAAGGTTCTTCATGGAACCATCAAAGCCAATAAAAAAACCTTTATTTTTTAAAAGTGTTGTTCTGTAGTCAACATTCGTATGAAGACCAGGTTTATCATTTCCCATCTGCAGTAGCAGCAAGCACTTCGATGCCATCTCAAGGTCATTTGTGAAGCTGCTGTTGAACTGATTTCTTCATGCCAACATGGCTTCAGTTGCTAATTAAACCGATAAAAGCTTAATATTTAATGCATTTGTCGCTTCCTTTATAGGTTCTCAGAGGACCAAATACATTTCAAATAAACTTCAAATGAGAAAACAACTAAAGTAATTATCATTGACATTCATTCACACTTCTGTTATCGTTTCCTTTTTGTGTCACAAACTATTAGGCAGTGCATGTTTACCCTTTGAGACTGAGTTAATGATCTTATTTTTAATTAGTAAGAATACACCATAATTGAAAATGCATGAACATTACATCTTTAGGCAATGCAGCCACAGCCTATTGAGAATAAAAGAAGGATAATGATGTAATTCCGACACTTTCGAAAGAAAGAAAATACAACATACAATTCTCACTTTGCTAATATATCTTTAATACTGAAATCAATCTTTCAGTATTAAAAAAATTAGGTAGTTTATGTCTGACAGGAAGCCGCTATGTCATCTAGACCTTGCAGTGGTCAACAGGTAGAATATATATGAGTCCCTATAATGAACCGCACAATGGTCAACGTCATCGTTTTGACATTTTTTTTGCTTCTGAACTGCCATTTTTCAACCAAAGCATGCTTATTATATGAAATTGCAGGGAGTTGGCTGCCCTGTACTTTTCAAACAGTTATGGAATCTATGTTCTGAACTATCATCTCTGAATGATTATGATAAACATTGGATGCTATGAGTAAAGTAGTCTATCCTCCATGTCATTTATACATAAAGGTGCAAGAACATTTTAAACATGTTCCTCCAGCTTTCACACAGTAATGTATGCCCTCGATTTAGGAGTGATGTAACCTGAGTTGTAAGACTCAGTATCCTCAATTATACATTTTGTGGTAAGAAGTCAAAATTAAATTGTAGTTTAAAATGTGTGATCATTTTGATGAAGGTAAAATGAGAAAACTGGTCACAAAATGTTGTCAGCTTGTCAACATTACAACTTACACCAAATAAATATTGAAATAGTATACCAAATTTGCAAAAATAGCAAAATACACAGATATAGAGTCAAAGAAGCAAAAACAACACTCATCTACGTGTTCTTTCCGTCAAATTATAAACCTCAGTAAATGAACAGCAGAAATGTGTGCGTTTGTCTCTGTCTGCTAATAGTGATACATTGCTGAAATATTTTTAACTCCACCCTACACCACTCTCTCTGACACACCTGCCAGATCTCTGAAGGAGGGAAACATTCTGGAGCAGATCTCCAGCCATTCAATGGCTGCAGGGCAGCGCGCCCATCTCAGACGTTATCAGCACAACAGATGTATTGCGACAAAAAGATTTGTTTTTTTCCCGCGTTTCGGCAAGACACACACAAGTGATGGGGGACTCCATTTTTAAGACGCTATAAATCTGCCCGGGTGCATTCGGCAAGGACTTTAAATGCAACACACCCTTGGGTGCGCGGCGGAGAACGCCTGTTACGCACGAGGCAAGCGCGAGACGGGGGCATTTCCGAACAAATTTATTAAATGGTTGAACTTTAAAATATACGACAGTGGCTTTTGTAACGAGCATTTCACCTGATGGATCGTCAAAAAACTCTGCTGCGGTGGCAATGGGGCTGTCACATGCCAACGGGACCGAGAGGACATAACTGGGGCAACTGAAAATGTCATTGTTTTTCTTCTGAATTAGTCTGTTCAGCATACTACATATGAGACCAACAACCATAACTCTAACCGAGAAAATTTCACAACACTGGCTTTATAAACGCCCTGAGACTTTGCGAATTAAGAAACAGAGTCTTTGAGGAGGTGAGTGGATTTCATAGGATGTCTACAATGCCTATATGCAGGTATAAGGCGAATATAAATTGGGTTATATGGCACCTGTTGTGAAAGGAATAGGGTTCAATAAACAGCGTAGATGGATATTCACGACACGATCTTTATCGGGTGGCATTTTTTCCCAAGGAATTCTACGTCAAAAAAAGTTAGTCTGGTAATGAATCGTCTAATAATGTAAATTTGGACAATTCACTTTTGGCAATAAATATAAAACTTTAGTAGTACACAGCTTTCTGGTCAGTCACGAAATAGCAATAAAATATTTACGAATAATAAGCGCTGAATAACTGACCGCTGTACCAGGAAACCTTTGGTTGCTTTGTATTCGGTCACGATAATAACTGTACATTGTCTTATACATAATTAAACCTAATCTTATTAACATCTACATTTAAATTTCGACAGTAAAATATTTACAATAAAATGCCACCCAGTGATGCTAAACCTGTTTAAATAGCATTGGTGGCCGGAGGCGTTCATTCACGGTAAGAGCAAGGTGATATTTGAAGGACTAGTGATGTATGGCACGAGTGAGTTATGGCTTGTCGCTCCAGTCTCCAGGGCCGAGGGGACTGTAGGCTACAAGCCCGCACTCCGAGCTCTTCGCCTGGGCTGTCCGTGGACACACAAGCGGCAGGGATTTCGCTCGTGATTTGCTGGGACGTCAGCGTAAAATGCTCTAACTGATATTTTCTTCTAAACTACCGATACTTTAATAAACGATAATGGGTCCGGAAAAGCATGGTTTAGAATTGCCTTTGCCCACCGTGGATGTGTCCGGTCCGTGTCCAACTAACGGAGAAGAGGAAACGGAGCTGTGCGTCCAGAGTCACTCAGAGCCCGCTTACTGCGATCCGTGGAGGTAACGGCGAGGCGTCTTGCGCTCACAGCAATTTGTTTTTAGGTTAACAGAGTGGAAGACTTGTAAAAATCCTTTTAATTATTTTAAACAGGGGACGAAACACCCCTTTGTTTTGTTCTTCATTATCAGAGGCAGTTTAGCTATTATTGGGGTAATTAAGTTTTCTGTGCAGATGGTTTACTGGCACTGTGTGAGAGAGCTCTGTTCATCTCTGGTATCTTTGAATCATAATTGAGTGTCAGGGACTGCTGCTTGATTTTTAGTTTTCACAGAGACCAAACAAGCAATTAGAAACAAACCTGTAGCTTTTTGAGCTGTAATAGATTTGACATCTGTTGAAGGCTGGTGATTGAGTTGATAACATTGCATTTATTTAGGCTATTTATTTGAAAAGTATACAATTTTAATTTTTTTGTGTTTTGTCAAGTAAAAATATGCTTCATGTAGTAACAAATTATTTAGTGCGTTTATTCAAAGCAAATATCTTGACTGTTTTAACAAGACTACATTCGGGTTCATTAACAGATTTCATTTTAATGGGCTGAACGGATAGAAAGAGCGGACAACACTTTAGAATAGGGAACACATATTCACTATTAACTATGACTTTTCCCTCAATAAACTCCTAATTTGCTGCTTATTAACAGTAAGGTAGTTGTTAAGTTTAGGTGTGGGGTAGGATTAAGGGATCTAAAATATGGTCATGCAGAATAAGGCATTAATATGTGCTTTATAAGTACTAATAAACAGTCTAATATTATGGTCAGGGAGAATAAGGCATTAATATGTGCTTTATAAGTACTAATAAACAGTCTAATATGCTAGTAAAATGCATGCTAATAAGCAACTAGTTAATAGTGAGAATAGGTCCTTGTGTTACCAAAAGAGCAAACAGGTAACAACTGCACATTTCCACTTTTAAACAGTACATGATGTGCCATAGTTGTCATGCAGTTGCCATTCTAAAGGTATTTTTATATGCTTCTTGGTTTGCTTTAGTTTATCTTCATGATCTCTTGAAGCTGGTGTTTCAACCCTAAACTTCACATGCACATTCTATATTGAAAAAAAGGTTATATTTAAACCATGGTGGAAGGGTTGAACTGTATTTTTGATGTGAATGTTATGAACACTCAGTGTTAAGTGCTTCACAGCATGCAAAGGGTCCCTGGAGCAGCTCTGACATTTCTCTGATGCAACTTCACTCGCAATGTCAGATCTTTTACTGCTTCTCTATCTCTTTCCTCATCTTTTTAAAGACCATTCATAAGATGGCATTATTTGTGGACTAAATATTCCGTTCTTGCATTTCAGTCAAAATCAGCTTCAGTCTGCATTTTCAGTCACCTTGTGAAGGTCACATAATTCTGTCTCAGATGCCATTTGGGTGATTTTGAGTCCCTGGCCAGAGATGTCTTATTTGGTACCTTTGTTAGGCTTATTACCCTTTGTTAGGCTGAATCTCTTCTATTGCTTTGAGGATGCAGCAGTTGACCTTGTGAAGGTGCTTCCATGTTGTTGTGGCTCATTATGTGTTTCTGTTTGCGGTCTTTAATGAACTGACTAACATGTAGTTGCAGCATCTGAAACACAAATGGTAGTGAACCCTCTTTAAAAGGATTTTGGATTCTGGATCAGAGCCAGGAGCAGATGTGCAAAACCAAAAAGCCAAGATAGCACCTGCTACACACGATGTGTAAGAGCCTCACACCTTTTCCGGTACCGGACGATGTGTTGGTCCCATGAGATCCTATGAGTCAGACCGGCTAAAGGATGTCTGGGAAGAATCCATTAATATAGCATCATATGTTATTTATCATGCCAACAGTGGATGTCACTTCCTTTCAGTCCCTCGCTCTTTCTCTATCTCATTTCTTTTTTCAACTATTAAATAAACGCTCCCTGCCGCACTAAGGGCTTAATGTGATGGCAATTTCGCCCAATATCTATTCACATCAGCATTCACACACTGCCTGTGAATTAGATATGGGCCAGATTAGGATGTACAGACTTTGGAATAGAATGTTTGTCAAGGTTACTCTGGCAACCTAAGCATAATGTACTTCAGAATCTGTTACCAAAGCAACAACATACAGTACAATTTGACCCAGGTTATTAGTTTGAACTGACGTGTTTCATTTGATTGATCAAAATTACAGCTAAACAGTATTGTGAATTATTATTATTAGAATTTGTTTTAGAATTATTATTAGAATTAATTAGTTGTGCATTTTGATATATTTTAAAATGGAATTAATTCCTGTGATGACAAAGCTACATTTTCAAAATTTTCAAATGTTCAAGTATTATATCTTCATAACATTAATAATAAGAACAGTGCGTAACATTTTTGTGGAAACACTGGATTTTTTGATGAATAGAATGTTCAAAAGAACACCATTTATTTGAATTTTTTTTTCAAACAGTGTCAGTTTTGATTAATTTAATGCATCCTTGCTGAATAAAAGTATTAATTACTGATCCCCAAAAAATTTACATTATAGTGTTGATATCCAAAAGTGAACCAACCAACTTATCAATGGCTCTTTGAAATATTCATGTGTAGCTGCCCTTAGCTGAGCCCAGTATCAATCAAACTGCACCCAAAGCTGCCTTCAGCTAAAGCCTCTGTTAATATCTATGGTAATTACAGTAGCACAGAGCCCTGTTGTACAGCTAGGGATCGTCCTTGGTGAGCATCACCGCAAATTAGCTGCTTCACTCCCTCTGTCACCTCCTCGTAATTCTCCCTTAATTCACATGAAACGCTCTCAACAGAGGCTTTGTGTCTCTGAGTAGAATTAATCAAGGATTCCCCATTATAACTTTGGAAACTTTGGAAAAGCTTGGGTTTTGAGGTATTTTAGACAGCATTGGAGCCTAAAATGAGTAAAACAGACCAGACACTCGAGACACATTCAAGCATTGATGCCCTGACAGTATTTCAAAACAGTAAGAAATCAAAAACCTAAATCCTGTGGAAAATTTCTCATCTTTTGGCAGGCTGCTAGAAACAGCTCCACCGTTTCAATCCATGAACAATTGTGCCACTACATTATACAGCAACTTATCTACCTTGACACTGTCATTGTTTTACTAAATAAAAGCCCTGTTGTGCTCACAGGGGAAAAAAATCAATGGCTTGAAAGAATGAGCCCTCAGACAAACATTCACAGTGGGGGCCATTGGTACAAATGTATTTATTAAAAAGCATTAACATTATTTATATATATTTGAAGTGAGTAAATCAGGGCTCAACATTTTTTTAATCATCAAAATATATGCAGTACTTGTCAAAATTTTGGAAATATTATGATTTTTAAATGTTTTTAATTACGTCTCATCTCACTAAGGCATTTATGTGCTCAAAATAGAGTAAAACAGTACTATTGTGAAATAGTATTACAATATAAAATAGCTGTTTTCTATTGTAATTTTTTTCTGTAATGTAAAGCTGAATTTTCAACATCATTATACTCCAGTCTTCAGTGATCCTTCAGAAATCATTCTAAAATGCTGATTTGGTGCTCAAGAGACATTTCTTATTATTATTTCTGATCATTTCTTATTATCTAAATTAATGTTTTTATTCAGTAAAAATATGAATTAAATTGAACAGAAGTGACAATAAAAACATTACCATTACTTACTACATTACTAAACAAATTCGATTTCAAATAAATACTATTCTTTTGAACTTTATATTCATCACAGAATTCATCAAAAATGTTACCGAAAAATATTGGGCAGCAACAACTGTTTTAACATTGATAATAATAAGATCTATTATTAATAACTGAGCACCAGTAACAACTGAGTATCAAATCAGCATACTAGAATAAATTCTGAAGCATCATGTGACACTGAAGAATGGCGTAATAATGCTGAAAATTCAGCTTTGCTATCACAGGAATAAATTACATTTATTTCACATTGTAATAATAATTCACAATATTATATTTTTACTGTATTTTTGATCAAATAAATGCAGCCTCGGTGAACATAAGAGGCTTCTGTCAACACATCTTCCTGACCACAAGTGTTTGAACATCAGTGTAATAATAATAATACAGTAAATCTGCATTCAGACGATTTGCTTG